ATTGAGACACATACATTATCATTGATAATGTAACTTTGAAAAGTTCTTAGTTATAACTTTGTTGTAGCTAGAGATTACATAGAAATTAAGTTGCAGTACTCCTATGCTTATATTAAAAACACATTTTTAGGCTATATATAAAACCAGTGGTGTCATTCCCTTAGTAGAATGGCATTAATCAATGGAACAGATTTTTCCTTTGTTCTTCAACCGCATGCTCTGTAGATCTGGATACTGTGCAGAACCAACAAGAAGCCTTGTTACATATGAGTTGGGAACTTGGTACTTGCATAATTTGGCAGCAGTGGTGGGTTGTTCCCGGTTCGGACCAGTTTGCAAGAACCAGTAGTAAAACCGGCGGGAGGCTCCACCCACTGACCTGGACGTCATCTGGAAGTTTCTGTGCATGCGCAAAAGTACGCACGTGTGCGCAGTCCCATTGCGAACCGGTAGTAAAGGTAAGTAGAACCCACCCTTGTTTGGCAGGCAACTCTTAAATAGTTCCTAAATAGCACATTGAATGCTCTGTCATGTGAAAATGCTCTGTCTTTATGATATTATAGAATATTAATATAGAGAACCCAAGTTGTCTACATTTGCTAATTTTATTTTTAATATGTTCTGTCTAGTAAGACTGATAAACAAATATGTAACCTAAGTGTTCTATATTTTGTACCATATTGGGATTTAGTTATGGGATCATTTACTTATTGTACTTAGTATAATATATCACAGTATTATTTCAATTATATTCATACATATACCAGGTTTGCCTAGGTTTCTTTTATAGCTATTAATTATTATCAAATTTTACTTCATTAGGGCTTCCAGTACTTTTACAAAATACTTAATAATATAGTTAAGATTCCTCTTCTTTCTTCAAACTAGAGTATGTATCACTATTATGACATATTAAGAGCTATAACTGAACTATTGTTTAATTTTTATGTCAAATCAGACAAACATAGGGTAAGACAATAGATGTCTTATTTAAATGCTGTAATAAAACAACGACTGAGAATTATCTAGGAAAATCATACATTTCAGAAAACAAATTGCTATATGTTGAATCAGACCATCAACACATATCAACACATGTAGTGTGCACTGTAGACTACAACAGACAGATATTTTTCCACAGGTGCCAAACATCAGTACAATCAAGAGTTCAATTTAGTAATTAATAAATAGCCACAATAATTTGTGAATCACAAAATCCCATCGGTTTTTTTGATGTTCGCATAAAATCCTGTGAGATTTCAGTGTTTTCCCATGAAATTTCATGAGATTATAACAGCTTCCTATAACATTTCAGAAGTAAAATGACCAAAACCCCATGATATTCAGCGAACTGGGAAAACACCTGCCATGTTTTAATGTATTAATCAGTTTCATTTTATAGTGCCTAGTTGTGTATCTCTTTATCTTTCCATAGGATTTCTAGTTTAATAGAATACTCTAAGACTGAAATGAGGTCCCAAGTATTCCAATTCAGATTGAAAAGTTGTTAAATTACATATCTTTTTTTCTATGTATATGAAGCTACTATATGTTGGATTCCCCCCACCCATGACAGATGTATGCCTATGATATATTTCATCATTGTAGCCTTTAGATCTTCAAATGCTGCCATACTCTTGACCCCAAAATATAAATCCCTTCCATTCCTACAAAATAGTGACTGTATTCATTTCATGGATAAAATCAAAAGAGAGAGGTTTGCACAAAGAGTGGGATACATTGACATTAAGCTAGACTGGAAGTTTTGGAAGTGAAAAAATCTCCAATCCATATTTATTGTAACTATGCTGTTTCATATTCCAGGAGGATAGAATTCAATACAAACTTGATAAAATAAGGAGTTTTAAGACATGTCTTGTATTCATATAGGCAAGTGCTTTCATTTTAAAAGAATTCTAGTTGGTAATGAAGCTATTATTAGCATAGTTAACATCTGTTGGTGTATGATGTCAACTTCTATATCTAATTTAATGTTGTTTACTTTGTGCCTTTAAATGCTGACTACACAAATTGACTAGTTAGAGAAAGCTATGTTTGTTGGGAAGTAGAGATATAATTCATCTTAAAATAATTATGTGTTCTATGATCCAGTACCCTGTGTGAATTCCCACAGAGAAGTCAATTCTTTGTAAAAAGAAAGTTCAGGTGGAGTTCATCCTCAATTACAAAGAATAAGAAAACTAATTTAACCAAATTTTTGTGCATTGGTAAGACTATCGAGATACACAGATATCATAGGTTAAGTCTCAACGCTACAAATCAGTTTAATCACATTGGTTTTCATAATAATTGAGAATATTGTTTTTCAGTGCAATGCTAGAAATGATTACTCAGAAGAAAAATCTATAATAGGACTCAATTCTTCCACTGAACCTAAATTATTGTCATCTACCATAAGTTATTTTCATCTACCGTGCTCAGTCAATTGAAATAAATTCTAATAGGTTAATAGATAACAGATTACATCTGTGTATGGAAAATTCAAATTCTAGTTCACTTGGAAGATCTCAAATTGAAGTTCTTTTAAGGGATTTGTATACAAACATAGCTTAGATACCCTCTGAATCTCTTTGAAGGAATGATGAATTAATGCAAGAAGGACAATTACTCTGTCTGTATCTGTCTGTCATCTGTCGTCTGTCTGTCTGTCTGTCTGTCTGTATTAATGGCCTTTTTACAGATTTGTATAATCCCTTGGACTAAGTAAATTGCAAAAATAGAAAACCTCACTGCATGTCCTCAATTGCAACATTTTACAAACAACTAAATGGATTTCTCATGTCACAATATTATACTGCCACTTTCTGTATATAAAAATTATAGCATATGCAAGAAAATTAGGTAGACTATCACCATCTGATCAGCTTCCTAAATCCAGCTATTATAACTGTGTTGTAGCACACAAGGAAAGCTCTCTGTCCCAGTTTTCTAATATTCCTTAGCATTTTTCCATATCTTATTAGAAAAATCTGGTTTTCTTAATCATATACTTTTGATCATATATAAAGAAAATTATACTCCCAAGGAATGTGTGTGTGTGTGTGTGTGTGTGTGTGTGTGTGTGTGTGTGTCACATTTCTAGATGATGTGAACTCATGTTTGTAAACAATTTTATATTTCTACCTCACTTTAGTATCAGCCATCCTTTGCAATGACAATAACATAGTAAAATATTTTAATATTTGAACGCTACTTTGGGCAATATACAAAATATAATGGAAGCATATCTATTATATGCAATTGTATTGTGTACTTGTAGAACATTTCTCAACATAAAATGTTTATCTTTTTGTGCTTATAATTAATAGAAAAATGTAAACAGGGAACTGTAGAGAGGATAGAAAGAAGAAATAACAACTTATATATATACATTATATTTAAAAATTTTAAAAAGCAAATACTAATTTATTGCAGTGTTTTTCTTTTAGTTTGTCTCAGAAGTGAATCTGATTGTAGTGAGTGAACTAACTTCCAACTAAGCGCATATAGGATCTGCGTTTGGATATGGGTGAAAATACAATAAGCATTTTTAGCACAAAATAAAAATAACTGGTAGCTGACTGTTTTTCATAATTACGTGTAAAAAAAAACTATTCAGAAACGGAATATATTGCCTTCAGTTTGATATTATTGCCAAAGACATTTATCTATCCTGAATTTATGTAGCATTAAAAGCAACATTCCCTTTGCTATCTCTTTGATAGAAATTATTTCCCAACTATCAATAAAAATTATCAGCCTCAGAATTCTGGTTAATATTAAACTTCAAATGAAAATGTTAAACATTGCCTGTTATACTGCATATCCAGGTTGTTCAGGCAGACACAGAATATACGTTCAATCTCTTTTCATAAATAACCCAAGAACAAAGGTAAAAACTAAAATTGCACTTATACAAATAGATATTAGACAATCATCGTGACAAACCTTCTAAAATGACTAGGAATTTAAGTGCACAGTTTGTTCCTAAAATACTACAACATACTGTTAAGTTCATTTAAATCATCTCTAATGTTTTGGAGTTAGTCAGGCAAAAAGAGCAGTGAAAGCCATTGGAAATGGGCACATTTTACAGTATACCACAATTAAACCCTAGTCCCTATTTTGCTGTTATTCCATTCTGCTAAAGTTCCTAAACTTGAAGTATATAAAGCTGTAGAAAAAATTAAGAGCATGAAATTGATGGGAAAGCAGCCAGAGGTATTTTTCTGGAGACTGGGCAAGATCATCGGGAATTTTTTCTTTGACTGAGATCAGACCAGAATAAGAAACATTTTGGTACAATTTCATGATACACAGCTATTCCAGAGTTGGCGATGCTAGCCATAAACTCCCTTGCCAAAGTTTTCATTGGAATAGCAAACATACCATTTGGTGCTGATCCATAGTTATGTAAGTTTCTTATATTAATAAAACTAGCATCTCATATGTTTCAGAAAACTCAGAGCAATGTTACACTCAACAGATCTGACTTCTGGTCTGCTCATAGTTCAAAAATATACCATCAAGGAACATCCAAGAATTCAGTCTATCTAAAAGTAAGTAGGTGCAAACTCTTAAGAATTGTCACACACACACACACCTTTGATTGTTTTACTTCAGGTTAGTGACTGTATCAGAGCTGAGCATACAAAAGTCAAGATAAATAAATTGAAGTATTATTATTAGCATTTTTACTCCATATGTGCTCTACTTTTCTACTGGCAGAACAAATTGCTGCAGCTTGCACATAGCTATGACACTTTAAATTCACTGATTTCACTGAACTTCAAGCTGCCAAAGAGCAGGATGGCAGCCAAACTCTTTAACAAGCTCAACAGCTTTTGATCAAAGAATTCCACCTGCATTTTCAGAGTAGAAAGTTTATCATCATAGCTAAATGGTGCATGAACTTAAGCATTTTTAAAAATTCCAATCCTAGTGTTTTTTTTAAGAAAGAAAAAAAAACTGAAGGAGAGACCAAGTTAAAAAGCTCTTACCTCATTTAGCTGCTGATTCTGTTGAGGAAATCCTTTAGTTAGAGCAAAAAGTAAAAAAGAGTGGCCAAGATATGTCAGCTATTAAGTAAACATAGGTGGCAGGCTATCACTTCACTCGTAGCAGTGAAGATAAATGGATGTGTTATTAATTTTAAAACTTCTTTTAGAATGCTTACCTGTCCAATTGTGGAATCCCTTAGGTCACTTCCTGTTATTCTGATTGGATCTTCTAAAATTAAACTTAAAAAAAAACAGTGCTTGCAAATATTTGCATACAGCCAGCCAACTCACACCTTCACGCACAAACAAAACAAGTCTAACCAGGTTACATTTGTGTCCTGAGAACAAAAGAGAATCTTTTTAATAGATGAGACATTGGTTTCCCTCTGAGAGTGTTTGTGTGTTGTTTGTGCGTGTGTGTGCCTGTGCTTTTCTTTAAAAGGCCAATCTATCCCCACTCCCACCACCCCCACAAGACAGGTTATTTCAGGGAATTAATGTATGTAATTAGAAGAAAGGAAATTATGCTCCAGAAACGTATTTGTAAATTCAGATCATTTGAAATCAACACGATGGGAAAAAAAGTTCAACTACAAAGCAAATTGTATGCAACAGATTTTCACCGGCAGCAAGTTCAAGCAAATGTCCCTGCCCGGTATTCATTTACCCACAGTAAGTCAGTGTAAGAGTGTTTGTGTCTAAAACTATCCTTTCCACATATTATTCCTGCACACGCACACAAAACAATACAAAAACTTGGCACAAACTGAAAGCAGCATACCTGCCTAAGGTGTGACTATGGATGTGGCAATCCGTATCAAAGGGGACAAGTAGAAAGTATTTGCTTCATTCAGTTCAATATTGAGGGTGCCTTTTTATATTCTATGAATAAATAAGTGCTATATATTCAGGAAAATTTCAAGCCAATTTGGTAGATGGGATAACAAGACCCTTGAGGTTTGTTGAATTGTGGCCATAACATACAGTCCAGATGGAACTGCACATGGATTGTGCCCTTCAACTATGTTTACCACCCCAACTGCTTTCAGCAGCATAAAGAAGAACAGATAAAGGATGCTGACTCTTGCTTTACTAAACACAGGTGGAAAAAAAATCTTATTTCTCTGTATCTAAAACCCTCCTGGACCAAAAGGAAGAACATGACAATGATGTCACTTGAATACCTGGAACAGCAATGGATATAAATCAGCAAGCTGATCTATTTTTCTTTTAGGGCAGTCCTTTTAAAAGATTTATTTGATTAATTTGGTTTGACTGGCATATTGAACCCAAATTGTTCCAAGTGCTTCAACGTGAAAGCTTTTTCAATCCATTAATAGTAAATCAAGAATAAGGAAAAAGAATGTGCTATTAACATAAGTTTATTAAATTAAAAAAATCACTCTTTCTTTTCTGCTTCAAAATGGTGTCACAATGAACTTCCATTAACTCCACCTGTGTTTCCTCTGCAACTCCGTCGGGTTCTGTAGCAAATGGGGTGGAAAGAAGCTGAAAGGATTGTTCAAGGACCTGAAACTCCTTTAGTTTGTGTAACAAACTGTTCCTGTAATTTATAAATGCTAATTTTTTTAAAAAAATCTTTCAGTTTGGCTTCATTAACAGAATTCAGAGGTGGGACATGGACCAAACAACTCAATGTCAACAGAACAATCCTCACTGCTCACCAGACAACAGTAGGTGGTGCAGAAGCTGGTGAGCCCATCAGACTTTTCTGATATCACTTCACTGGGCCTTGTAGGCAAGTAGGCAATTCTGGATTTAGGTAGACTACAGAAAATGACATGAAGGATTGTCCTATAGTCCACGAACCATGAATTTGAGACCGTTGGTATTGAAAGGGTGTGCAAAAAGGTGACCATAATATTAACTATGGAGCCTAGTTCAGGATCACTTGCATTCAAGTGACCTACGTTTATTTCCTCCTGGCGACATCTAGAAATATGGGATTTGCTGTACAAGAAGTCAAATTATCTCACAAAGACCAAGCACAATCTTTCTATTATTGACTATCAGTCTCAACATGGAAACTGAACCCCATTTTGGTTACAAATCAGAAACTATAGATTTAGAAGAGACAGTTTAAACTAAGGAATCCAGGCTTGGCTCAATACAGAAATCTAAATTAAACTATTCCAATAAATGTTTATCTGATCTCCATTTGTAAATATATGATAAGGAGGCCCAGAGCTTTCTGGATATTTGGTTGTCAAATGTTAATAACAATATACTTAATGATAATAATATTTTTCTAATTGAGTTGGAATCTGCCTTTTCAATTTAAATCCAGTCTTTCCTGTACTCAGACAACTGAGGATAGTGCTTGACTTTCATTTGAGTGACATCCCTTTCAGGAATTTGAATAAGATGATATTATATTATTTCTAAGTCTTTCTTTTTTTACATCTCAGTTGAGATGTAAAATGCTTAATGCAGAAATTCAAATTAAATCATCTTTGACAGCTGGTGTCTTTTTCTACTTGATCAGGTCCAATGAAAGTGACTACCATTATACTGGGTAAGTGCTTTTTCTATCAATCAGAATCTATCTTCTGTACCTTAAATCCATTATTCCAAGTTCTGCAGTCTCAGAACATGTAATGGTGTATGACATCCTTTTAGAAATGATTAATATGAGAACATTCTTCAATCTCCTCTTCTAAAGATCAGTCATATCCAGTTTCTTGAATTTCTCTTCATAGAATTTGACTTCCCTTTTCTTGAACATCCGTGTTGTCCTTTTCTGAACCTGTTTCTGTTCCTCTTTCTTAAAGATAGGTCCTTCAACGAGATATACTATAGGGTAGCAGAACAAAGTGGAATCCGTGATTTGGAGACTGTAGTTCAGTTGAATGCAGCCTAAAAATATGTCACACTTCTAAATCAGATTCAATTTATAATCAGTACTATTTCAATATCTTTTACATCTTTTATATTATAACACCAGGTATCCTGCAACCCATATCTCATGTTTGAATTTTATTACCTATGTGAATAGGAATATGGTCTCTGTTGAATTTCATGTTCATTTTTCCATCTTTCATTAATTACATTTTATGTAGCTGACACTTGCCAATCAGAATGTCATCAGATAATTTGTCAAACACACTTGGTTGAAATCTAGATATATCAAGTCTGCAGCATTCCCACAACCTATTAAGAATTTATTTTCCTTCTAATACAGACCATAATTCAGATTTGCTTCTAGACTTAACACAGTAAAACTGTTTCAGTGATTTCCCAGTTCTTGTTTCTTGATTTATTTATATCAGTATGTCTGTTCCATTATGTCAAATGTGCCCCCAGATGAAATTGTAACAGCATTATATAGCTTTCATTCAGGGGTGCTATTCAGCAGTTCTGACAGGTTCTGGAGAACCGGTAGCGAAAATTTTGAGTAGTTCGGAGAATCGGAGAATTCCATCTCTGGCTGGTCCCAGAGTGCGGTGGGAATGGAGATTTTGCAATATCCTTCCCCCAGGAGTGGGGAGGGAATGGGGATTTTGCAGTATCCTTCCCCTGGAGTGGGGTGGGAATGGAGATTTTGCAGTATCCTTCCCCTGCCATGCCCACAAAGCCATACCACGCCCACCAAGCCATGCCCACAGAACTGGTAGTAAAAAAAATTGGAATTCCACCACTGCTTTCATCTAACTTTTAGGCAGGTTACATTTAAGTGCTAGATGAAAGAAAGAAAGAAAAATCATAATATTCCTTTAAACATGGGACTTTTTCTTAAATTGGCACCCAAAAATTGCATACTACATTTGGTAGCATAATATCACAATCACTCCTAATGATCACTCGCATTGGTAGCCACAGCTTCTTGATCCTTGCACTTGTCTCAGGACCACCTTTTTTTTCATCTGAATTAATATATAGCGGCCAGAATTAAGATAATAAATACCAACCACAGGCAGCAACATGCTGGCTAGAGAAGTAACCATTTCCCATTCAATGCAATAATGACAACAGAAAGCAACAAGAGAAACTTCTGCTGCACTGCATAGCCAGCAGACAATGCTGCCAAATTGAATGCAGGAAGGGGAACACACTAGGGAGACTAACAATTCTGGAACTGCCCTTGGTTATAGGAGATAAATATGAAGGAATCAGGTGAATTTCACACAGAAATTCAGAGAGAGGCACATTTCAAAATCACAAGTACTTGTTCATTCATACTCAGCCTTTTGATTGCTGTGCTACTTCAGTTGCCACAAGGATTTGCCATTTGTGCTACAAAATCATGCATCATTTTTATAAAGTATTGATATTGTTTCTTGCAAACAAAGGTAGCTATAGCATTCTTCAAATCATATATCATGATTTCTTTCTTTCTTTATGTATAGTATTTATATAGCAGCCCAGCTTATGTCAAACTCTGAGTGGCTCTATTGAGTTAAGAATTAAAATGATATTAAAAACATTTTTTTCCTTGTAGACACAAAGTTTTCCCCTTCAAACAAGTAGCTAAGATTTCCATGGAGCATCTCTACTCCAATTACTATGAAATATTGCCACAGACAAGTCAGTGGCTGGAAGATAAATGAAGTGCAGCAGCAATCAGAGAAAGAATCTTTGGTTGTTATTTTGAAGTATAATTTCCAGATCGAATAGAAGCCACTATAGAGCAGCATCAAGCAAGTCTTCTCTGGGCTGAGCATGATTTGTCCTAGTTAGCCCAAGAATGGGGATATAGACTAAAGTGAAAAGCCAACAAAAAAGATCTACAGATGAATAAGATTATATAGGGTGCAAAAATTGTCTGCTACAACGTCCTACCTGTCAATGACTACTTCAGCTTCAACCGCAATAATACACGGGCAAACAGTAAATACAAACTCAAGGTAAACCACTCCAAACTCAATTGCAGAAAATACAACTTCAGCAACAGAGTGGTCAATGCCTAGAATGCACTACCTGACTCTGTTGTTACATCTTCAAACCCCCAAAACTTTAACCTTAAACTAGCTATCGTGGACCTCATCCCATTCCTAAGAGGTCTGTAAGGGGGCGTGCATAAGAGCACCAGTGTGCCTAGAAGATGGATCGATTACATACAGAAGAAGAATCCGAATAAGAAGATTCATATAGCATATGAATGAAGTAACTTTAAATAGTTTATGT